GCTGTCCGAGGTGCTGAGCCGTGCGGGGGGGGCCCGGAGCTGTCCGAGGTGCTGAGCCGTGCGGGGCGCCAGGAGCTGTGCGGAGGGACGGGAGCTGTCCGAGGTGCTGAGCCGCGCCGCGTCCGGGCGGCACCATGGTGTTCGCTCCAGGTAAGGGCAGCCGCTTCCCGTGCCCAGCCGGGGGAGCCCGGCGGGAAGGCCCCTACCGTGCCGGAGAGCTGCTGCGGGTGGCTGCGGGGGAGAGGGTAGCAGCTGAACCAGAGCTATCATTGAGCAGAGACAGGCGGTTTCAAAGAAAGTGCCTTAGCTTAGCATGTGCTCGGCTGTGGAGCAGAGGTTGTGAGGGTCACCCCTGTGGTTCCTGTCAGGGACAGGAGCCTCCTATACAAGTGCACAGGGGACTGTGCTTGTCAGACTGCATAAAAGGGTCAGGAAGGGGGACGTGGCCTTGCAGTGACTGGAGAGTGAGTCCCTTGCAGCACCCACACTGGTGGCTGCCAATGAGACAATCTCTGAAACTCATGGAAATATTTTATAACTTTATACCCCCACACCCCAACTATTTGAATGGAAGAGAACAGAAAGTTTGTTCAGGCCAGTTTTTACTGGAACAAAATTGAACACTTCAGTTTTTTTATGGCTAATGCAAGACCTCGCTATATAAAGGTGCAGAATCTCTGCTGTGTAGTTTGTGTGCTACACCATAGAAGAAGGGGACCTACAGAAAATCTGCATTGAACTTGTACGTTCTGCTTAAAATCAGGCAGTTTGTTGTTCAGAAAGAGATGAGAGGCCCAGTAGCTCTGGGATATGAATGTAAGTCATACATAATGTCTTCTGTAGTGAAATGACTTGCAATTAACTTCTTTAAAGATGTATAATCATCATTAGGTCAATAGAAAAGGGAAAGTAAAGGCTGCAACTTGACAATAAATAACTGTCAATATCTTTGTTTTGCAAAGCTAATAGAAATTTTATCTTCCTTTGAAATTCTTTATCCAGTCTGTGAAGGGGTAAGAATCCAAAAGCTTTATACTGTCATTTTAAAAATTATCTTGGGGTTAACTTTACTAACTCAACAGAGTCTAATTTTTTGAGAAATTAATATTCTTTTTCAACAATCAGAAGTTCATTTTACCTCTTTAACTGCCCAGTGGTTGTCTAATTTGATACTTTCTTGTACAGCCTGTTCTGAAATTGAGACCAAATTATTTATCTGAACAGAACCAGTGACTGTTTTTTGCAGTACAACTTTCAGTATTAGTTTGTCTTTTCTGAACTCCTTTTATCCGAGAGTCTGTCACCATTGAATGTACTCATTTTTGAAATGCACTGTGGGACTGGAATACTGCAGAAAGAGATTATCTCTAAAATAATGAAAACATGCTATTTTCCCCAAAGGTTGACAATGAAAAAAACCCATATCTCATTAATAACTACATGAATTGTTCTTTTCACAACTGTACTCCATAAAGAAGAAAAAAAAAATCTGTCTTGCATAGTAATTCTTCTTCAGTCTGCCTTTACCCAAAGAAAAGCCCATTATTTCCTTGCAAATGTTGCCATAATATACATATGATAGCTAAGTAGAAATTTGTAGAAGAGATGATAAAGCAATCAGAGGGTCTTGACAATCTCTTAGATTCAGATAGAGCAAGCCTGAGTAGATTGCGTTGTTTTAATCCCTTTTCTTCACCGTAAATCATCCCTGCCCTGGCATTATGACTTCTACAGATGTTTGGGTTTTTTTAAAAAAAAATCAGAGTTTTGTACTTCTTTAGCATCTTCATAGTACTTAAGGCTATATAATATAGGAATTCTATAAGTTGACTAGGAAATAAAGTTTTATTTCTTGAGTTAACTTTCTGATTTTATCTCACTGTGATGAATGACCTTATTTTCTATTTCATTTATTTGTTGAGGGGAGAGAGACAAAGATTTGTCTAACTACAAATGGTTAGGCTCAGAATGATAAACATCCTTCCAAGATAGGATTGGAAAAAAAAAGAAAAGAACAACCAAAACAAAACCCTCTTCCAGAAAAAATAGTGGAACTTTTTTTTTTATCTGAAGATAAAGGTAAGATTTTACGTATGAATAAGATGATGCACTCTTCCTTAAGTGCATAGTGGATATGTTATTGCAGAGCACTGAATTAACATGCTATGTTCATAAACTGTTAAGTAGAAGCAGCTTACTAAGTTTAAATATACTTTTTAAAAGGTGAAGCCAACTGACTATTGATTGAATAGGTACTTTCCTGTTAAGCTTCAGCTCTTTTCCCTAAATCTTATAGCTTTTATGTAAAAAAAAACAAACCCACACAATCAAACATAAAACAATAAAACCAAACCAAAACAAACCCCAATACCCCCCCACCAAAACCCCACAAAACAGACAAACAAAAAACCCCAAAACAAGCTTGGCTATTACTGAGCTAGATAGATCAAAATTTTACAAAAAAGACAGTATTTCACGTTCAAAACTGGACTTTCTGGCTCATTCTAGACAGTGTGTTGGTAATTACATGTATGCAAAAAGTTACTATTCACACGTGATCTTTCTTCATATCCAGTTTTTATTACCTTTAAGTCTGTTCCAGAAAAAGGAACTGAGAAAAGTACTTTTTTCCTTATTTGGTTTAATCTGACTGGGGCTTCATTGCACTTTGTTTGCTCATTGACTAATGATAGGTTGGTGTATAGGAAATGCAATCCAAGCTCTATGAGATGTCTCGGAGTTCATTTTACCTGGGGAATTCCCACATGATGTGCTGCCCTTACAATAGGGGATGATCCATGTAATGGAAACGTGAACAAGCTACACATAAATAAGTTTAGCTTCGCTACTTTTCCTGAATTGAACTGCATTAGATAGCCTGAGAAGTAGACCAAAAAAAAGTGTTTCTGATTGCTGAATGTAAGTATGGAGAAATGCATGGGACGGCAGTAGAGAAGCATGAAATATCAAGGTTTTGGATCAGGTCAAAAAAGCAAAGAGAAGTCATCACTGTTGAATTGGCAGATTTTCTTAGGAGACTTCAGAAGATAGTGTATTCCAGAATTTAAAAAATATCACTGCCAAATTAGCTTATAAAAGATTGATAATGATAAATAATTCCACAATTAAATATCTCTCCTTGTAAGGTAAGGAATGAAGAGTTATTAAAACAGTTGTTCTAAAACATCAGCAAAAACTAAAGAATGCGGCAAGCTTTCTTCTGTTACCACTTCATTAGTTCTCAAAGGATTGATCACTTCCAGTATCAGACTATCTGATCAATAATAATCTTATTTTTGTTTTAAATTAACCCATAAGAATTAACAATAATTTTAAATATTGTTAATCAGTATCCTACTACTTCTTTGCAAATTGTTTTCAGTCACTTTTCCCAAAAATGACCTTGGGTATATTCCATGCTTATTTTTAGCCTTAAAATATTTCATGTGGAAAGGTAAAATAAAATTTAAGGTAATACTTTTTACTTCTGGTTTGCCTGAACAAATGGGATAAAAAATGTTTTCTTGGGCTCCAGGTTTTTTTTTCTGATGCTGTTTTGCACATGAGTCACTCAAACACTTATGTCTTAGACCTTTGCCCCTATGTGTATGTACTGATATAGCACAAAGATGGCCTGCATTTCTAAAACTAGCTTGGGAATAAAGTTAAAAACCTGTTAAGGATATTGAGTTACTTAACGGGTTTTCTAAGCAACTCTTGCTAGAGTATCATTTCAGTGATTATTTTAGTATATTTTGAGAATTTTACTCTATAAAGTAAGACTATAAAAAATAACCACGTTGTGGAGTCTCATCATTGTTTCACCCAGTCAGTACTGTACAGAGCTGTGTTTGCTTGAACAGGATTTTGTATTTTTGGATAAATAATGTCTCTTAGAAGGGAATTGGTTTTGATCTGAATTCATCAAGAACTATTGCACATTTACAATGGCAGCTTATTTCAGTGTCTGAACACTCCCATCCTTTAAGCTTATATCTACTTTAATTCTGGGATTTCATCTTTCAGGTGATTCTTGTTATTTTTCAGTGTAATTAGAAGAATTCCTTCTTACCTGATGTTTTCTCCATAACTAGAAACATAAAGGCATTACTCTTGACCCTGCAATCCCAAAAGAAGGAGGAGAAGGTAGAACTAATTTTTGTATCAATATTTTTATGTAAAAAAAAGATGTGTGAACACACTTAAAGTTTAAAGATAGACATTAGAGAAGTCAGAAGATTGACTGATCAGCACCTTTTCTTACAATAGCTATGCCAATAGCTTTTCAACTAGCTTTTCAGCAACACAGCTGTTCTTAACATTTTTAAGCTAGGAGCAGTATAGCAGACTTGCATAATGACACTGAAGATCAGAGGCGCATCCTGTACCAAACATTTTAGGAATCTCATTAAACTGCAATTGAAGACATAGCAGCTGCACACTGAAACAGATGTGCTTACTTGTCTGAATAGTCCTGATCTTATCTAGTGGAAAAGTTGGGAAAGCAACAAACCTGTTGTGCTGCAGGATGTGAAGACATGATATTTCTTGATAGCCTTTTTCTTTTTTCATTATAGAGTTACAGGTACTGTGAAGAACCCTGTCTGTAATGCACAGATCAAGACACTACAGAGCGACCTGTTAATGAATGGAAAAATTGCTACCAAAAACTTTACTTTTCTGAAGATAACCTGTTGTGGGGTATCTGCAGTGTTTGCACTGAGTGTGGTACTCCAGGACTCTCAGTCATGAAGTGCCTTTCACTCATGAGAACAATTGTAGTAAGGCAGGGCACAGTCCTTGTCACTGTTAACTGCTGTGCTATGTTCTGCTAATGCTCTACGTTCTGCAGTACCAAAAAATGTCCCACTAGTATAAGATATAATAGTATATACATGTAGGATTCTTTCTCATGAACTTAATACTGACAAAGATCATGTCATGGACATAATTTGGAGGCTACAGGCAAGACTATTTTGCAGACTTCATACAATCTAATAGAATGGTTTTCTTGTCCAGAATTTGTGATGGCTGCTATGAGTTTGCAGGCCAGTTACCCCTCAAAAGTATCGGACTGAATGTATTTGCAGCTAAGAGCTCTCAACAATACCTCGAAGTGTTTGCTGCCTGGTAGGAAGAAATCATATAGGAGGAAATTTCCTGTTCTATTTTGTAGAGGAAAAATTGTTTCTTGTGTTGACCTCTCCCCAGTGACACACTGATCTTTCCCCTGCTGTGAAACTCCACTGGCAGATCTCATTAAAGGTGAAAGAAAGTTAGTTCATAGATATTCAGAAATGCGATGAAATTAGCAAGCTTAAAAAGCAGTCAGCAGT